GCTAAGTTGACAAAATTTGGGGCATTGCACCCTCCATTCTAGCAAATATGAAGTGACCCCTCCTCATTCTCAAAATTGGATGGTCACATCCATCATGAAGATGCTCTAATATATGAATAGATTGATAGCACAATAATGAATCATCCTTACGGTCACAAATTAACACTATATTTTTTGGGCAAGTGTAACCGTCGAAAAATAATAAAGAAGTTTTAAATTAAGTTTCCAAATCATCTTCCCAGAAGAATTGTTCCCCCAAGTGCCAAGAAAATCCTTAATTTAATTGTTTGAACTTAAGAAATGGGTGAGAAATTAAATTCAATTGTGGTAAACAAGGATTGTAAAGAAATACACTTTTGATTACTGTTTGGAGACCTTAGGGCTTATGATTTCACCTCTACACATCTTTATGCTTCTTTTTAATCTAACTTTAATTTTGATTTCTTCAAGATTGTCGATCACTTGTACAATTTTCATTGACACTCAATGATCATATAATATTAACAGACTTTTCTCTAAATTATTACACTCAATGGTCACGCAAGATAAAAAGATTAGGAAAACATGAAATACCTATGAGCTTGTTAATCAAATAACAATCAGAAGAGAAGAGTTAAGCTTGATCCACCTAATTCTTAATCTCCTTTTATTTTATGAGTCAATTAAGTACATGTGGTACAATCGCCTACTATGTAATTAATTGTGATATATCAGAAGTAGTCAATCCTTAACATAAGTTGTGTATACTAGAATAAAAACCAATCATAAACGAAAATTGAAACTATTACTAAAAGTAAAAATCATATAAAGTCATGCAAGGGATTCACCTTACCCCTAATTATGGGTTTAGTTACACATCATGTGACAAACAATTAAAACAAGCATATATAATCCCATAGATATGAAATAAGAATGCAACTAAAAAAAGTCTCCCTAAGGGAATGGGAAAAATAGGGTTCTCGTTCTTCAAACGTGCTCTCGATCACTTGCTTGGACTTCGAAGACGCTTTTTTGTCCTTGTCAATGATCCTTGCTCTCTATGACTCCAAGTTTCGCCAAAGGTATGTCGAAACCAAAGTGCCCTAATAATTACCCTTGAGATTCTTTAAATATGAATTGGAATCTACTAGAAATAAAGGTGTTACTTCCAAGAAATCGGTTGATAAGATTAATATCTCTACCAGAGGTTTCCAACTGATTGTAACCAAAGTTGAGCACAACCGTAGTTGTCAAATAGCAAAAGTGTGTTTTTAGCTATAATTATAACAATTAACAACATAATCAGTCTAAAGTTTATTCAAACTAAAGTATAAATGCATAAAAATAAGTTCCACGAGAATGATAAAATATGGACTTATCACCATACTACAGGATAAAAATGATGTCATCTAAAATAAATTTAAGCAAATTATAGTTGAACTCTAAACTTCAAATGTAATTAATTTAAAATTATATTAAACCTAAATAACTATCCACTATTTATCGAAGATTAACCATATTTCGTAACAAATATTTAGCAAAAAATAAATAAATAAATTTCCACAATTTATTCTCAATTATCATATTTATTTAACATTTCAACACTTTTAAGTTAATTTCTTAATAATTTGTTTAAAAAAAAAACCTATTTACTCATATTACCTACAATTACGATTTCTACTACATCTAAAATTTATTATTTTACAAATTTTCATTGTATGGTTACACGTTATTTTATTTGATTAATATACTAACAATTAACTTATATAAAAATTTTGTAATTGTTGTTTTGCCTTACAAATTTATTAATAAGAAATTATATAACATATTCTGTTTGTTTTATAAATTTTACAAAATTAACCAATTTACAATTTTTCAATAATAAGTATTAATTCAACTACATTTAATTTTTAACAATTTAATTTCTTTTAATCACAAATTTTATTTTATTTTCTTATTCTAATAATAATTAATTTCTTATTCTAAACAATATATTTATATAATTTTAATATTATTAATTTATGTATTAATTAGCATTTAACAACTTATGACTTATTAAAATTAAAATTTCTTTATTATAATAAATGAATACAGCAATAATTAATATTTTAACTACTCTAATTAAAAAATAAATTCTATTACACTTATGGTATTATTATTTTACTAATAATTTATTCTTGTGAATCTAATTCATAAAAACTATGACTAATTTTTTTTTAAAAATTAAAAAAATCTAAAGTACTAACTATTTTTTTCAATTTCTCTTCATTTCATTTTTTTTTCAAATTAAAATATTCAAATAAACTTATTAATAATTTTATGATTACTAAATTATATCTTTATTATAATATTAATTTTTATTTCATCAAATTATAATCATTATTCTACCTTACAAATTTACTAATTCTTCTTAATTATATGTCCTCCCCTTTTTTTACAAACTAATTTTACAAAATTTACCAATTTGCTATTTTTCAATAAAAATATATTATTTCTATTGCATTTCATTTTTATCATTGTCCTTTTGTCACTCTCACACAAATAATATTTTATTTTCTAAATTTACTATCAATCAACTTTGTAATTCTAAACCATATATTTATATATTCTTATCATTATTAATTTCAATATTAATTACCTTTTAACAACTTATATAACATATTATAATTACAATTTTAAAACTTTAAAATTAAATAAATATAAAAATTATATTTTACCTACTCTAATTTATATAAAAAAATTATTGCATTTACATTGATTTTATATTTTTAATTTATTATTCTAATTAATCTAATTTATAAATACTATGAAGACTAATTTTGTTTTCAAATTTCATGCCTCAAAATTACTACTACTTTTTCAATTTCTCTGCATTTCAATTTTTTTTTCCTAATTAACCTATTGAAAAAAACTTATGACAATTTTCTGAAAGTATTAATACATATTTTTTATAATATTAAATTTTATTTCATGAAATTAAAAGAATTATTTTACCTTAAAAATTTCCTAATTCTTAACTATATAACAAATTGTGTTTTCTTTACTAGTTTTACAAAATTAACCAATTTACTATTTTTCAATAACAATTATTATTTCTACTCCATTCATTTTTATAATCTAAATTTTATTTTCTCACAAATATTTTTTTTATTTTCTTAATCTACTAACAATCAAATTATAATTCTAATTCATATTATATATAATTTTATTGTTTTACATTTCTCTATTTATTCACATTTCAATATCTTTATAATTTTATTATATTTACAATATTATAATTACAATAATAATATTATTTCAATCAGTTTTAACTTTAAAAAATACTTTCAACCTACAAAATTTAAAATAATAAAATTACTTTAATATAAAATTTAAATAAAGTAATAGATACTTATCTGAACTTTTTAATTTTTAAATGCAAAATCCTAATATTTAAATTTATAAATACAATATATATATATATATATATATATATATATATATTTTTTAAATTAAATTTTTTACGAAACCTCTTATGTATCCAAAATGACTCCTATAACTCCAATGTCGTGATTCTCTAAAAAAATTTCTCTAACATTAAAAAACTATAAATATGAAAAAATATATTAAAATTAATATTGAATACAAAATAATTTTTTTTTACCTTTTACAATGTCTAAATAACAAAACTATTACCGTAAATTGTTAAAATTTTGAGCTATTAACTTACCCAATTCTTTGGTTCTTTTGGCAATCATTAAGGCAAAATGAAGAAAAAGGATAATGGAAATGAAAAAAAAAATGACAATGTACATGAATCTAGACTATTCCATTCAATGATATTTTTTAGACTCTAAACTTTTTGCATGTGACTGTTATTATTTCTCTATTTAGACTCATCTATTGTCATTATTTTTTTCTATTTATCTGAATTAGTCATTTGATTGACCTAATTTTGATATCAAAATTGAATAGGAGAATTTTTAAATAAAAAGTCTCATCGTGAGTAAAAAATATAATGTAACTTCAAAATCTTAAAATGATATGTGTATAGATCTATTTTTTTATAAATCTTTAACTTGTGCATATTTTATTTTATATAAAATTCAATTTACACTTGATTTCAGCTGACTCTAAAATTTTCTATAATTTTCATAATTTGTGGTAAAACATGTCATTCCACACTTGCGTCAGTATTTTCTTTTACGATACTTATATTAAAAAAATTACAAAATTAAATGTGTCGTTGTGAGTATCATTCTTTACCCAGGGAATTAATTTTGCTACTATCCTACTTTGAGAATGTCTTTTTTTTAAATTTACTTTACTGGCAAAAAAGTCGTGTCGGGACAATGTCACGCTGAATCACGCGCTGAGATCAGTAACAAGACGTCATCGATAGAGTGCAATCCACGCGTTCTGACTGAAAACAAGGTTACTATTGATGACATGCTATATAATAACCAGGACTCTGCAGGTCATCTCGTTCCTCTTCAAAGCAGTTGAAAATTAAACACAGCTTCAAACCCTTTTGTCTACATCGGAAAGGAAGCTTCAATCTCTTGTAATAAAGTGTTTCAATTGCTGCTATTATTTTTATGGTATGGCTCACTGTATTTTTATATTGGATCACCTAACTTTCCCTTCATTAAACACGAGATCTACCTGTGCGTGAAGATAAGCTAACTGTAGTTATATTATATTATTTTGTTGAAAATTCATACCGAACTCGGTCTAATTATAAGTTTTAACATAAAATTGACTCTGGCCTTCCCTATTTTCTTGGTCTATTGATACCTGGACACAAAGTCAAGCCCTTTTTTCAAAGTTTTGATTACAAACGTTTTCTATCAGATACACTAATTAATCAGGATGTGACTCAGATTCATGATAGATTATGTACACATGCAATGTGAAGCAGAAGTAATCGACCCAAGTCTACATGGAATGCTGTCCCTATGATTTACGTTTTTCACGTTCTGTGCGAAAATCTGTCATTAATTTATAATTATATTTTGATGTTGATAGTAATATATGATCGAATGAGTTGCACTTGCAGGGCATGGGGTAGTGTATGTTTGTCAGTAGCATTCGTTTGGCAGCTCTACACCATATTTCTTCTCGTTCATCTTCATGAATCCGTCCCTGGAATTCGTCATAGCAGATACCTCTTTCTCGCCATGGCTGCTTTCGGTAAGTACAAATTCCCAAAAACTCAAATTCAAATTGAATTTGTCTCCACAAGGTTCTATCCCAAAAACTTTGTTCTTTAATTCTTTTTTAATCTTTGCTTCGAAAGTGCTATCTCATCAACCGTTACAATCAAATTAAATATTATTATTAAATATTGTTAGCTACATAAATTATTATTACTATTCTATGCCGACGCTTGAGTTACGTACGCACTGACATGGGCTCTACCATGTTCGGCACTATATATATCCCATCCGTTCTATTTTTCCACAGCTCATTTGGATTATGATATAGACAGAGAAAGATTTGCAATCTTTGTAATATAAATTTCAACTTTGATAAGGTGTATTATATATTCCCGAGGCAAACTTTTCAACGATGGGAAAGATACATGCTAATTTAATAAAGGCAAAAGTGGACTTCTTTTCCACCATAAATTTTTACAACAACAAATTTTTATTGCTTTCTAGCATCACATCATCTAAATTTTTTTTCTATTTTTAAAAAATGCAAAAAGATTTGTCTATTGTGAGAATAACATTCCACTTTTCATGTGTAATAATCTGATACCACTTAGGTAAAAGGTTGGGAAAGGTGGCAGCAGTATTCCCGATAATGTATCTTTCAGGAGGCACATGCGTCATGCTCATCATCACCGGTGGCGGGACCATGAGACTATTATTCAAGACACTTTGCGACGACGAACACGGGCAGAGTTGTAATGCCCACTCACTGACCGGGGCAGAGTGGTTCTTAGTGTTTACGTGCGTCGCCATTCTCATAGCACAGTTGCCCAACCTCAACTCAATGGCCGCCGTTTCTTTTGCCGGCGCCGTCACCGCCATCACTTATTGCACCCTCTTTTGGGCTCTTTCCGTTAAGAAGGGTAGGCCCAACGCCGTGTCCTATAGCTCATCCCTTTCCCGAGATTCCTCACCAGTGGCTAAGATCAGTGACATTCTCAATGCCATTGGAATCATTGTTCTTGCCTTCAGAGGTCATAATGTTTTGCTCGAGATACAGGCAAGTAGACCAATACATTCCCATACACTTCAGTATTGGCATCTTGCATGGATAAAGGTTGAGTGTTGCATATATTTTGCATCAGTACGGTTTCTAATATCATATTCGTATATTTGATATATGATAAAATATCTCAATATATAGTACATTTTTAAAAAAATTAAATGAATATTAAAATATGGAAAAATGCAGTACCATTTACACCTTGCAATTGTGCAGTAATTTAAGCATAATGTCAACCTATTATGCCTAAGTTGAAGAAATTTTTTATGTTGGTTTTGCAGGGTACGCTGCCTTCAGATTTTAAAGAAACATCCAAAGAACCAATGCGCAGAGGAGTGAGCATTTCATATGTGTTCATTGCCATGTGCGTGTTTCCTCTCGCAATTGCCGGATTCTGGGCCTACGGAAACCAGGCAAGCACTACTATATCTAGCTTAATAGTTATCCCAAATATAATTAATTTAAATGCATGTTTTATTGTTAATATATAAACCGAGGATGTTTTGTCGTTAATCCATTAATGAATCAATTTAAATGCATGTGTCCAGATAGATGATAAAGGGTTGTTTACTTCGTTCCCGCAATTACACAAGAAGCAAGTAACGAAATTCTCAATGGGTGCAGTATATATTCTGGTAATAACACATTGTTTGAGTAGCTACCAAATCTATGCCATGCCTGTTTTTGACAACTTGGAGCTAAGATACACGACCATAAAGAATCAGAAATGTTCACGAGTGGTGAGAACATGCATTCGCTTATTCTTTGGGGGCTTGACATTCTTTATAGCGGTCACGTTCCCATTCTTGCCAAGCCTAGCTGCCCTTCTTGGAGGGTTCACATTGGTGCCCGTCACATATGCATACCCTTGTTTCATGTGGTTAGCCCTCAAGAAACCTCGACCAAGAGGTGCTGTTTGGTGCTTCAATTTTGCACTCGGTTGCTTAGGGATGCTTCTCAGTGTTCTTTTGGTAGCTGCAGCTATACGGACTCTAGCTGATAAAGGTCTAAAGGCTAACTTCTTCAAACCATAATATTAATGCCATTCACAAGTAATTAGCAAATGCCACTTAATAATTAGGAATAACTTGTTTTCAACCCCAATTTATCTCTATTTATGCGTCACCCAAAATATATAAGGCACCAAGATTAATTAATCTAATCTCTGGTTACGAGAATATCATATACATAAAATCAATTTTTAACATATAAATATAGTAAGGTTTATTTGAGCTGCTGTCCAGTGATGTCAATTATAAATTTATTATCTATAGTTAATGAAATAGTAAAAAATATATGACTGAAGTTTTAACAAACTACGAGTCACTTTGTGTTAGGGGTACTCAAAAAATCTAATTTTATAAACTCAATTTATAATCAATGTTAAATTAGTTTTAAAAATTTAAATCTATATTAAATTAGTTTTTTTATTAACTATATTTGTGTAACTAATTTAGTATCTAAATCCATTTTCTAAAACTGAATTTTTTTTTAGTTATTCAAATCTATATATATAAAGTAACTTTATATTTTTATTTATTAAATTTCAGCATTATATTAGTTTACAAAATTTTATTGTAACTATATTTTATCATTAATATATTTTTTATTAATCTTAATTCTTATAATTAAAATTAAATATTTAAAATAATTAAATATATTAAAATATAACAAGTATTTTTAAATTAATTACCACTGTTATTTTTAAATTTATGTTCTTTTAATTTTTAAAATATTATAACAAAAAATTCATTATTATTTATATTATTAATTTTTTATTTTTATAGATTTTAATTTAAATTTTTATTATAAACTCTGTTTATTAAAAGTAATTTAAAAAAATAATAAATATTTTATATACTTCTATAAAATATAATATATTAATAAATATTATTAAAATTTTTATGAAATGCACTAATTTAATGTAATATTTTGTATAATAAATTAGTTTTACGTTAAAAATATAATTCAAAAATATATTAAAAATCAATTTTACGATAAAAATTAAATTTAAAACTAGTTTCAACAAAAACAAATCAATTTTAAAATTAATTTTAAACTAAATTTAAATTTTAAAACTATTTTTGAATTGATTAAAAAATAAATAAAATAGTTTAAAATTTAACTCATATAATTAATTTATATTATGGATAAATGATAAAAAATAGAATATATCTAAATATTTTTTACTTTAATAAAATATAAAAATAAAAAATACTATTAATAAATTAAAATATACATAAATATTCTCTGGACATGTATTGTTAATATAATAAACTAAAGTATTTCTTGTATTCATATTTTATCTTTAATAAATGTTAATGCTTAACAAATAAATAAATAAATATATATAATGTTATATTATTTATTATAAAATTTAAGTTTTTTTAATATAATAATTTAATAATAATTAAAAAAATTATAGTATATTTTTACTATATATAAAAATGGTTTAAAACTAGTTTTAAACTAAATCTAAATTTTAAAATTAAATTTAAACTGATTTTAAAAAAATTAAAATAGATTAATTTATAATTCAATTCATATAATTAAATTTTAAATAGACTTAGATTGATTTTTTGAAAATCTAACGAAGACCCTTACTTTATGTTGAGCCTTGGTGTTAAATTTTGTTTAGAAAGTGAGCTGCACTGTGTTTCGTAATTGGATTAAATAGAACTTGAGATATTAAAGCGAGTAATATGGACTCTCAACTGTGGACAGGGTTGTTACTTTTTGCTTTTCGCATCGCCCTTGTGGACTTGTGTTTTTTGGTCATGGTACTTATGGACTATTTTAACTTAACGTCTACATTCTAAATTTTTTTAAAAAAAGAAAGTGATGTAATTAAAAAATCGTAGTGTAATGGGAAAAGAACTTCGAGGCACGAGTTAAAGCCCAAACTACTCCATCGACGGAACGCCCAAATATCTCACCAGTTTTGGTACACAGTTCAAAAAACTAGTCAAGACAAAAAATTACCTCAACAAATTACTAATTAATATAAAAAACAAATTTCAACTAAACCCACCGCTTTTTTAATATGTTTAAAAGAGCATGAATACTTGTTATATTTTAAAATTATTTTTTTTATTAAAAAAGGACTTCATATTTAAATATTTTTAATTACAAGCACATCCCTTTAACCGCGAGAACTTAGCGTTGGACATTATTGGCAAATCCAATTATGAATAAACTATATGATGTTAGGCAGGATAGCCCCTAGAACTGCACAGCCACACAGAATCAGCGAGAAAAAAGGAATTAAAATGAACACAATATACATTAAAATCAACATTAGATATTTACGTAGACCCAGCATCCATAGCAAAAGAGAAGTACTACTAGGAATCGAAATCCAATGGAAAAGTTCGTGATGAGTATTCCCAAAAATTACAAAAAAGAGAAAAAAGGCAACAAATATAGCAGCTACCTTTACATGTCATTTGTAGACACAAGAATCCGTCAAATTAAGTCGTTTTCCAAGTTTGTTGCCATGCAAAGTGACAGAACATCTAATTCTTCGATAGAATTTGGATTTAACCAATCTTCCCAAGATGAAAGCCCTTGATCTCACTGCAAATGTCAGGTTCAGTGGCAATGCAACACTATCCATATACTCTTTAGTATTCCCAAGAACTGACACCCCACCATAGAGTGGAACCTGGTGTCCTAACACTACCACCGCTAACTTCCGCTGACTCTTCCTCGACTCATAGAACTCCTGCATCTATTAACCAAATCGGTGGTCACTTTATGTCTAAAAAGACAAATCATTAGAAGTAAAGAACCTGGGAAGCCAACAATCTTACTACAATGGAATCACGATAAGCATTAGAAAAGTCCTAACTATTAGAAAATTAGGCAGGCTAACAGAAAAAGGTTTATTCAAAACTTATAAACACAATTCTACTTCTATTCCTTAACTGACATGGAACATCTTAATAATAAGACTCAGGCACCCACTCTACTTGTAGTGTTTCAGCTTTTAAGACTTGAAAGTATGAAGTAATGCATTGGACATCATGACGCTTAGGATTGCTTAGTGTCAATCCCGTAATGGCAAACAGGAAATAACTCATCATGCAACGCATGATTGTATGTTCACTTGACCGTGTTTCGCTTTTTCAGGCAGTGAAAGCAATTAGCGTGAGGGACTGAGTTGGACACGAGGATTATTACATTCCTTCGCATAAAAAAAAATGTATATTGGAATACTAATATAGTTAATGAATTTAGAAAATAAAAATAAAATGATTTGTTTGGAAAATTAAGTATAATCATACAAATAGGATTACTTACATAGTTATATGAGTGTAAGGCTGTTAAAATGTATACAAAAAATTAAGAACAACTTAACTACATAATAATGTGAAAACGAATACCCCTATTCCGTTTCTGCAAAGCTCAAGGCAGTGCCATTAGTTTGTAATACCAAAAATGTTTTGTTTCCATCAAATTGAAACAATGAAAATTTATTACCTCTTGTCCATTTACCTGAAACAATTACTACTTTAATTATTAAGATTTTAAAAATATTCATAACATTAAAGCATGTAGCTATGTGACTGCATCCATTAAGACTGTCATAAGTCAAACCCCACTTTTTGATAAATTTATAATATTTGACAAAAAAAAAAGCGAAATTTAATTATGACAATCTAAATAATCAGATGGTTACAAACTTTTTGAAAAAGTTCAAAAAAAATTTAAATTGTGCAAGAAATTTGTCAAATTGTTTGAAATAAACGATCTCCCAATCGCTTATAACATTGATATACACAACTAATAGATATTAAATTTAAATATATTTTAAACATTGTACTTATATACATCTTACACTGTAAAATTTTACTACTTGTATAAATTGTGGATTTGGGAGTGTAATGCATGAAAATCTATTCATGTCCACAAATGAATCAATCAGTTCACAAATTTTCTTGAATAATAACGTGTATTACACACAACCCTCGACATAAATTTACTCATGCATCAAAACTCTCACTGCATAATCTACATTCCTCCAACAGTATCTTACAACATAAGTGATCAACAAATATTACACATCCAATGAAACGGTAATCATTTATATTATCAAAATAACACAATAATAAACTCATCCTCAGTAACTGTTCAAAGAGTGGAACCACAATCCACCTTATGTGTTTTAAATAACCGGTTAACAATCTGATAAATACATCTTACAACGTAAAGTTTTACTACCTGTATAAATTGTGGATTCGTGGGTCTCATGCATAAAAATCTATTTCCAATAAATCTCACTACGTAAAAAGATTATAATAAATAAAATAGAAAGATTATATATAACTTTTTATGTAGCTTAATGTTATCTTCACATTTTTAACTGAAAAGTCTTACACATTTTAAGCAAAAGAAGCTCTAATTGTAAGGCAATAATTTGAGTGAAAGTCACGTGAGAGGCAGGGTGAGTGGCTGCCAGTTACCACGAGCTGTGTCCAATGGCTATGCAATAAAGTGTGTGTGGGAAATCATGAAAAGAATGGAATGGTATGAAAGTTGTTGGTGGGCCCCACAACTAATATGATGTAGAAAAGGGAGGCAGAGAGCCCAATAAAGGGACCAATGAAATTGAAGTCGTTCAGAACGCCTCTGCTCGATGCAGAAATTTGTCCCCACTCCCTTGGATGCTGCGAAACCCCCAATAACTACTATACGCTGCCCCTTCTTAACTCTCAATCCATCAAAACGATTAAAATAGTCAAATCAAAACTACACACCTTTTTCCATTCTAACTCGATCATGCATTCAAAAATGAAAAAGATACCTGCCCAGAGGCCAGTGCAAGCTGGTAATAGCTAAGCTCAAGAGGGGTACAAGTGACGTGAACGCCAAAGAACGTGGCAGTGTTCCTGTACAAAATTCTCACCGTTGAGTTCAACGACAACATATCTGTTGCCACTCCGCTTCCATCGTTCCCCGATTGTACATTTAAGTTTTCAAACACTATACTCTGCATTCCCACATTTATTTAACATCAAATGTTGTATTGTTATTATCATTCAAATAAACAAACAAATATTAGAAACAGAGTAAGCAGAAGAAGAACGAGAATCTAATCAGAACAAGGCCCACACACAATATTCAATTCTTTTGAAAAATAAACAAAAATAATTTCGTAAAATTCAAAAACACCTTGACTATGACTCGAGGCTTGTAGCTCTTGCTGGCGCCCCAGAGAATGAAAGAGAAGAGAGTGAAAAGCAGAACGAAGAGAAGGAAGAAGCACAAGTACAAACGGACGTTGCGACTGGAGTCGTGAAGCGCGTCCTCGTCATCGTCGTCGTCGTCATGGTGAACGCCGTCGTCGGGGTGGGGGTGGAGTTTCTTCCAGGAGGAGGAGAAATGACGGGGGTTTTTGAGGGAAGCGGAGAAGCGAGAGGTGGAGGATTCGCGAGAGTGGTGAATGGGGGAAGAGAGGTAGTAATGGAAATGGTGGTGAGGGGAAGCGAGAGGGCTCGAACCGTAAGACATTTTCTCAACGTCGTGATTTGAAGGGCTTTGAACGTAGTACAGTGGACGGCGGGGAGGAGACCGCGTCGGCGACGTCGATGACTGGTCCATGCTGTTGCTGGTGACCTCTGAGTCTGATTTCGTGTGCATTCTTCCTGCCATTCCTTTCTTCTCTCTCTGTCACGTGGAGATGGGAATGGAAGCTGCTTTTATAAACTGACAAAATCAAATCAATATCGCTCTTCTCCTTTCAGTATGAATTAATTACTATATTAAATGAATGGGATTTTCAAAACTCAAACCTGTGACTCAGTGTCAATACCAGAAATAAGTTAATTCTTTTCATTTATAGCCAAACGGGAAAAGACATAATAGTACACCTATTTGGTATTTGAATGATACTAGCATCACGTTTTATTTAACAATAGTACTTAATTATGTACTAATAAATTCGAATATTCTATTTTTGAGATTATCCTATTCCTGTTTGAGAAGTAGTATTGGACTTGAGATTTAAAATTTATCTTCAACAAAGAATGCATCATAAAAATGATTTTGTTCTACAAAAATATATTTGCGGGTCTTAGTTTTTGCCGGGAAGTAGACGATTGCCTTCTTCTTGAGCATGACTTTTTGTATTTGTCACAGTGGCTTGCTGCTTACGCTGTATTGATCCATGGACAGAGAAAAAGATATCATGGAAGTGTCTTATTTACCCTTTCCCCGTTCTATACAGTTTGAGGATTTTCATGTTTGAACTTGATTGCGCGAGTACACTTGGATTGTGGGGCCATTCGCATCAATTTTCCATGCATTAAATAACAGGTAGCCTAGGTCGTATCGTAGCTTACGGTTTTTGCGCCGGCAATGCAAAGAATTGAGCTGGGACGCGGTTTTTATTCTTTAAATAATTTGATCCTTCTCTGTTTTGATCGTCTATGTGTATGTGGAGTCTCTCCCAAATTTTACCCGTAGTCTACAGCTATATATAACTCCTTTCTGAAGGTCTCTTGTTTTTGTTGAATAAAGGTTACCAAAACAGAATCCAAGGGCAACGCCGAAGATTGTCAATTTGATGTATGACAAACAAGAGGCAAGATGCCACTCTGACACAAGTAATCCACCTTTTCTTCATTGTTTTCTAATATATATAAAAAATCAACTACTCCAAGCGAACATTAACTGGGAAGAGATCGACCACGGTAATCATCGGATCCGGATTCAGTGCAGTAACTTCACCGTCCTGTTACGCGATTTTTTATTTTCACTTAAGCCTTTGCATTTTCGCTTAAGCGAAAATGCAAAATTTTGCCTAAATGCACGGTGCAGTTTCTGCGCAGACTGCACTCAGTCTGGATTCGTAATCATCACTGAGGGCAACGACTTTTTTTTTATAAATTTAAATAATATAATTTTAAAATCATTTTTTAAAATAGAACATTTTAAAACTAATTTTTATTTTTTCTTATAGCATTAATATCATATTTATATACAATAGCATATTTTTATTATTATTTTAATAAATTATTATTTAACTGTATTTACTACATAGTCATAAATTGATACGTGAAAATTAAAATATTAAAAAAATAAAGAAAAAATTAAATAAATAACTTAAATAGTATTTTAAAAATTAAAACGATATAAATCATGTGTTTAGATCTAAATAAGTATAATTTTGACATAATAATAGAGCTATTATTCCATTTGTAACAATATTGCCTCATATCTTTATACAAAGGGTCATGATAATAGGTGTCACTGATGAAACGAATTTTTGCTACTCGTTATGCACAAAGATTGTCGTTAATTCTTATCAAATATGCAAAGAAATGAATGCAATACTAGGGTGTTGTCCTAGGTCGTCTCCTAAGAATTTTTGGTTGGGAACATACATCGAACAAGTGTAAACATATATTTTAAAGCAAGTAAATTGGGGGGAGGTTTGTCAATTTTTAGATTTTAATCAAGAGCAAAATATAAACTAGTGAAATTCAATCAATTAAGAAGAGTAATCCCTAGTCAATCAATGAGTTCTATCCCTATTCTTTCAAATGATTCAATAATCTCCTATTTTTCCCTTGAATTAAGTTAATCTAACAAGCGAAAATTAACTTTAACATCCCAATTAAAATTAAGCATCTTAATGGGCTCCAATCTCTATCCCTAAAATTAAGCAATCTCAAAAATTAATCAAAATTAAGCAATTTTGAATTAGAATTTCGTTTGGGTAATTTAGGATTCATTAAGCAATGTTCCCCTCATGTAAATTTCATTTCATTCAGAGATTAGGGTTAATAAATCCAAGGAAAGAAAGAGTAGTATTGCTATTAAACCCAAGAATTCAAGAACCATATGAGTTGACTAGGAATTACAAGAGAATTTAGCCCTCCATATGGATGGGCTTCACAAATAAAAGAGAGAAATGCAGAAACGTAAGTAACATTAATGTAAACTCAATGAGAATCAAAGGGAAATTGGAAATCAAAACCTATAATGGACCCCTGGCTGTCACCCAAGGCTCCAAAGCTCTGGAAAGAAAATGTCCTAATTTGGCAAAGAGAATGAAAGAAAAATAAATGTTTCAGTCCCCGTACCCTAATTCCTAAAATCTATTTATAGTGGAGGATATGTCAACAAAGTGTCCACTTTTGCCTTTGAAAGTGTCCACTTTGGGCCTTGAAAGTATCCACGCGCATATTTACGTAAACTTGTCAATTCTCTGGAGTTGCCACTATTGGGCTTGAAAGTGGCTACTTTGGATGCGTGTAGCCACTATGAAAGACAATAGTGGCCACGCGCAACATGTTCCCAAAAGTGACGTCCTGGAGCTTCTGGAGTTGTTACTATTGGACTTGAAAGTGACTACTTTGGATGCGCGTAGCCACTATGAAAGGCAATAGTGGCCACGGGAAAAATGCTTCCAAAATGACGTCCCTGGAGCTTCTGGAGTTGCCACTTTTTCACTTGAAAGTAGCTACTTTGGAACCTTTAATGTCCAGACTTGCTGTAGTTGCCACTTTTGCTCCTAAAAGTGGCTACTATGGGGGCAACTTTCATCCAAGGGCCAAGATATCTCAGAATTAAATTGGGGACTCTGCAAAATTATCAAGATAATTAAAATTGCAATCTATATCTATGTAATTAAATGCAAATTAACCAAAAATTAATAAATCTATGATATTTACTCAAAATGTGATTTCTATATTATTTGCACTATCTAAGTCCATTTTTTCTACCAAGGAGCACCAAAAAGGCAAGTAAAAATATAATAAAAAGTGGATTCATCAGTCACCTTTCTTCGTTCCTTCTTCTTTCATTTCCTCCACTAATGTTAGTCAAGAGAAATTTATGGAGTGTTTCAAATAAATTTCTCTCAAAAAATGTGTGTTGATTATATTATTGTGACAGAAATCAATATGTAAAAATTAATTCGTGAAATAATTAATATTTGTTTGATTTATAAAAAAAAATAACAATTCACACATGAATTTAGTGGTGGTTGTGAAGTGAAAGTCTAATTTCATAGGTAGTGGAGCTGACAAATGGAATTAAAACTCATGGACTAACCTTTAAAATTATTTTTTCTCCTATTTTTTATCAGTCCATTTCATAACTGTTCGGAGAGTAAGTGTACCCATCGAAAAGTAATAAAGGATTTTCAACTAAGTTCCCAAAATATCGTCCCACAAGGATTGTTTATCAACTACTAAGAGTTTTCCTAATTTAATTGTTTGAGCTTCAAATATGCGAGATTAATCAGGACGAGAATTTATAAAATCAATTGTAAAAATTAAGAGTAAGAAACACAGAGCATGTCTTGGTTACACTTATCAAAGAGAAATCTAGGGCGTATGGGTGTTCTCATTCAATCCTTTATGTTATTTTTTATTTAGATCTAAATTCAATTTCCTTATGATTACTAATCATTCATTCTAATACTATTAATATCCACTAATCATGCAATATTAATATTCTTTTTTCTAAGTTAATATCCCCAATGGTCATGCGAGTTATCAATTAGAAAAAGCCTAAGAAGCCTATGAATTTGTTAATTCAATAACGATTAGAAGATGAAGATTGGTTTGGTCTACCTAATCTTTTATCTCGTTTTATCCTATAGATCTATTAATTAACTGAAGTACGATCGTCTAACGATGTAATTAATTAGAGTTAAGAATGAGAAATGATAAGATAAATTCTAATCACGAAGCGAAAATCAAATTTAGATTCAAATATCAAAATTCCATAAAGTCATGAACAATAATTCTCATAGCCCTAGCTATAGATTTAGTTACTCATGTAGAAAGAAAAAGTTAGAATAATCAATAACATATCCATAATGAAGAGAAAAGCAAACTAGAACAAGAGATGAATCTTCGGTCTTCAAGTATGGTCACTTGAATCTCTAAGTGTCGCAAAGGGTGTGCCAAAGGTCTGTACAAGAGAGGTGAAAGTGATCAAGAATCTTAAAGGGCCTTCTGTGAAATGATGCTCAGGAAAAAGATCATTTCTACAATGCATCCCCTTCTCTATTTATAGAATTAGAACTCCAGTTTGGCTAACGCAAACAAGCACGGCCGTGCATGATCGTGCAGCACGGTTGTGCATATTGTCGAAGCACCCCGTGCTTCATTGGGCGTGGTTATTGCTGTGAGGCTTTTAAACCCATTCATTTGGGCCTAAAATGAACTAAAATCTACTTGTGGCCTCTTTATATCAAACTGCATAATTAATGAATAAATTAGTGTAAAACCCAATAAAAATAAAGGTCAAATATGAATAAATGGTTGTAAAAGAGGGCCTAATTACAGACTTATCAACTCTCTCATACTTATCTGTTTGCTTGTCCTCAAGCAAAGTGCTATTTAAGAGAATACATAATAACTTAAAACATAATACCACACAAGAAACCTGAGATAAAGGAGATAAAGAGAACAAGAGTAATATCACTGAGCTTAAGCAATCAAAAGGATTCCCAATTAGAATCTTATATTTCCATACTTTTCACTTAAACATCAAATTAAAGTACTCTGCTTTCCTCTCTCACTAAGGGACAGAATGAGATATCACTCAAATCTCCTAAAAAGTGTACTACCACAGACTTGACTATAAACCAACTCCCCACTAAATCAATTAAATGCAAGTAA